AAATCACTTCCTGCTCTAATCCAAACTGTCAGTGCGGCACCTCTGTGAAGACACCTCACGCCTGGTCGCCTGGGAAAGTCCGGATGGCTTTGGACTTCAGGGTTGCAAGTTAAAATCCTAAACCCTCCTACAAGCCGAGGTCAGCGTGCGCCTGCTTACACGACGCTGACGAAAGGTTGGTTCAGCTGCTTGAATGCATCTCTGCTGACGTATGAAAGCTGGGCTGGTTACTTATCTGATGAACGCTGCGCTTATTGTGTTCTGGGCTGGTTTTGCTCCTTGTGAGGAAGGTTTAGATGATGAAGGAAGCCGTGTGTGACGAGAGCAGAAAGCATCAAGTACGCTTTCAGATTTCTCTCTGCGTGATGGTTGTGATGTCACCATCACAGCACATCCAGTCTTTAACTGCAGGCGTGACGGTGATTCTCCTCATGGTGATAAAATCAGACACGATGAAGCTTCAGGCTGAACGACATGAACTCAAAAATGAGAAGATTTGTGTCATTTAAGCAAAAAAAACGATTTTTTTATCCTTTAAATTGGAGAAACGTCTTTTTTCTAAGTGTGGGCGAGTTTCAGCTGCAGACAGAGGAGAGATGGGTGTGACCGGAAAACTAACGGCACGTTTTCCTTCTGATCACAGGGTTTCCAAACTGAATCAGGAGGTTTTTAAACAGGGCTTCTTGTGGGGAACAAAACAACAGCTGAAACAGAACAACACTGTGTACAAACTAAAGCCGTTGTTCGTAATCCTTCAGCACAATAGCAGCGACGTGTTCACAGCCTGAAAGGGAAAGCTGGGTTATTCCCCTGCACGCTGCTACCTGACAGACGGGGAGAGGAGAAGCAAAAACCCAGCAGCTCTCGCACAAACACTTCTTCTAATTTAGGGGTTAAAAGAAACTTGGCGTGATGCTCACACACGTGTGTGTGCTCCACTTCACACGGAGGACAAATGAAAGTGTAAAAGCTTAACAATAAACGAGTCGTTTGACCTGCTGGGAGCCAATTACAACGAAGTGTCGTCCGTCATGTCCCTGATCGCTTCCCCGTCGCTCTCGCCTCCCTCCCTGTGCTTCTGCCCCTCCCTCTTTCACCAGGTAATGAAAGGTAAAAAAACACGCTGAAGAAAAAGCCGCGTTATTCCACCTGCCGCATTTCAATCCCCCAGTAACGACGAGGGGCTGAGAGCGCGCTCCCCAAATTAAACTCCAGCTTGATTAATAAATTGTTCTGTCTGCTGCTCGTGTTAATAAGGTGCTAGTCGGACATATTTCATGTGGGTAATTTTCAAACATAAAACGTTATTGGAGCAATATAGTTTACAGTTGCTGCAGTGCACGTCCAATTGAGTCGCTAATATGTTTTTGCTTTTAATGTGAAAATTATTGCAGTTTCTGCTATAAAAAATATCGTGCAATTATATTTTCCAGTCTTCCGACGCAGCGCACGTGGGCTCGATTTCATGGGAGGAGGGCAGCTCGATACATTGCACGCATTTAAACACAGGGCGGATATATATTTACGCACATAAATGTAATAATGCCGACACAATCGCACGGCCAGCGCCACACAATCAGCAGACATGCCTGAGCTCAGCTCTGCACACACTCGGGGACGGCGCCCCAGCTTTGTGCACCCCACAGACAGGTGGGTCGTTCCACGAGCTTCACGAGTGCAGCTGTGCGGTCCACAGCAATGCACAGCACAGCTGTAACAGCAGCTAAAGTATTGATGAAGTTCAGGCCCAAACACGGTGTTTACAATGCAGGCAAAGCGCTGCCCTGCACACTGAGAGCTCACCTGTGAGCTTCCTCACCTGTGAGCTTCCTCACCTGTGAGCTTCCTCACCTGTGAGCTTCCTCACCTGTGAGCTTCCTCACCTGTGAGCTTCCTCACCTGGCTTTAGGCCGATACTTTTATTCACGTTTCCATCCAAATGTCATAACCATCTTACACACACATGACGTGATGTCAGTGGTGTTTAGGAAACAGCCCGACCCTGTGTGATAGCGACATCGTCCATGTGCTGATTTCTAATCTACGACTGGATTGGATACATGATGGATCCTGATCACATGTGACGAGATTTCTTAATCAAGTTAATTTCAAAATAAAAATAAAATAAAATCATTTCAAAGCTTTCAGAGCTGTTTCAGCAGGTGAGCCGGCACTAACACATCCCTACACGCTGCGTTTGTCTTGTTTTAGCTCATGGAGCATTTAAGCTGACTCCTCATCAGCTCGGGTCGTGTGTAGGTCTGCGTGTAGTCGGTGAGATTATTGAGGAATGTGTAGGTTCACAGGAAATCAGTCGTTTATTATTTATTCATTGTGAATAATGCATGAAGATAGCAGCGATGCTAACATGCTGCCTGTGCTAACAGAGGCTAACAGCCTGTTAGTCTGCAGGCCGAGCCGGCGACGCTCAAACTGACCTCCAGAAAAGCACGACGGGGTTATTGTCACAGGCTTCTTTACAAGTTTGATAACTGCTGGTCCCACACACACACACACACACACACACACACACACACACACACACACACTAAACTGCCTCTTTACTCCACTGAATGGGGATGAAACCAGCCTCTTTTTAATCCCTCTCTCTGTCTTTTCCCACTTTTTCTCCTCTCGTGCTGTTTTTTTCCGCCTGTGCTTATTTGAATTTTAATGAGCTTTTCACCTTTTTAAGCAGATGGCTCAGACTGGATTTCTCCATGAAAGTCGGGGTGAGTCTCTCTGTCATGTTTTGCTCAATTTGTTTCAACCGAGTCCTTGAGGGGGTTTAGAGATTTGCCTCCCTAATTTGCCTGTCTCACCCTCGTCCTCGTCTGTCCCTCTGCTGTCCATGTCCTCTAACAAAACGAACGTCTCTCTGCTGAACGAGAGGACGCCGTCACACAAACTAAAAATAAAACAGGAATATATTTAGACTGATGAACAAATGGCTGGTTTGTTACTACCTAAAGATTTTTCTTTGGAATTAAATAGTTCAGCTGATCGTTACCTATAACACATCTGATAACAGACAAACTCAAGCTTATCCCAGCAGCTGATGTCAGTGCAGACCACATCAGCTGATATCCTTGGATGCATCCAGCTGATGAATGAAAGCTGCTGTCAGCTCGTGTCCACGTGTGAGCACTGTAAATACGAGCTGATTCAGATGAAAAGAGCTTGAACTTTGTGAGTCAGAGGGACGAACCTGCTCACACCTCTAAAGGTCACAGATGTGACAAAGAAGAAGCAGAAGTTGTGGTTGGTTTGTGAGGCTCAGACTGAAGCGTCACTGGGAGGATTCGAGCTTTTCCCCTTTCTTAAAGAAACCAAACCTCAATCTGAGTCTGACATGCTGACGAGTCTGCACAGCGACGTGCGGATGATTTTTCTTTTTGCACATTAAATTCTGTTTAAATCATCCAAAAATGTTCATGTTAGCCAAAGAAAACCTGAGTTTTAAACTGACCTGGCCTCATGTGAAAAAGTAACAAACGCAGCTGAACTGACTTCATGAATTTAATGAGACATTAAAGTGACATTTGTGTGTCTGTGCTGAGGAAGACGAGGCTTTGGCGTGTTTCCCTGCGTGTGTCACGTCTACCTGATAGCATGTTTTCCTGCTTCGGGCAAATTCCTTTGGTTGGTGTCTTCTCTCCTCTCTCGCCTCGTCCCCCTCTTCCTCCCACCTCATCTTCCTCCTCTGGCGTCACCTGGATGCCGACCTCTACTGGCTCCAACACCTTTCTTAGCTCCACCCTCTGCGCGTAGTGATGAAGGCTCTGCAGAGTGGGACCGTCTCCGTGTCCTCCTCCTCCTCGGTCGTTCATCTTGTCATAACAGCCGTTGGCCAGCAGCGGTGTTTGGCACTGCTTCTTCTTGTGCTCGATGAAGAGGAGGATGTCGCCCAACGGGAAAGTCATCTGGCACTGGCCGCAAGTGAGCAGGTCGTGGTCAGAGTGGAGGCCGGGCGGCAGGGTGTGAGCCAAGCTGGGGTCCAAAGGATGGGGACGTAGGCCAAGTGGGTTGGAGGGCAGGGTGAGTGGGTTGGAGGGCAGGGACTCGGAGAGCAAAGCGCCATCTGGATGCTCCGCCTCCGCTGCAACAAAACAGAGGAGACACGTCAGAGTTAACCTGGGTGTATGTTTGCTCATCGCGTGCTGAAATCTGCGTGTAATTAGGTTAGCACGTGTCTGAGCGACACACTAAAAGAGTCGTGACCAACGACCTGTGACCTGTTAGACCAGGCGGCGCTCACTTAACATAAGGCTTAATGGTCACTGTGTGGTGGCGCCGACACAACAGTGCAGCTTCATGTGTGCGGACACGCCTCCATCACGCTTCGAAGCTTTTTCAAGACGTCTAAAAGTCCAAGAAGGTGAATTTTCAGCCACCATCTCAAACACACCACAAACTACATATGTTAGAATTTTTCAGTCTCAAACACCAAAGTACACGACGTACACCGCACACTGCTGCAGTGCACGCACACTTTATTTAGCCTCTGAGGAAGGAAAAGGAGGATTCAGCAAAGGTGTGAGTGAGAAGCTCTACATTAACTAGATCTAACCCCGGCTCACGTCCACGTCTCTGCATGGATGAGAGTTCAGGTGGAACTTGTCATTTCTGAGAATGATGTGGTTATGACCCAGAGTGGGTCCCCGTACATGTTAGGAGGTTAAAATGCAGCAGATGTCCACTAATAATGTCGTTACATGGTCTCAATTAAGATACGTATTAGTGGTGATCAGGGTTTCTCAGTGTTTGTGAGCAGAGGGGTGTTTGGGTTCTGAGTGTTGAAGCAGCAGTAGGAGAGCACATGTGTGGGGTTTGCAAACAGCTTCACCAGCGAACGAGCGAACGAGCTTTGTGAGTGAGGGCTGTCTCCAAAAGGAGGAGGTCTGAACGAGGGTGGAGGAACAACTGACCCTCTGAGGTAAAATGCTGATGATGATGAAGTCAAACTCATCACCATCACCTCTCTCTGTCTCTAATACAAGATGATGGATTAGCAGCAGGCTGCCGTGCGTCTCAGCCTCCACATTAGAAATGCAAACAGATTTGGGATGTCGAACGTGGATGAAGGCTCCAGATGGAGCAGCCCAGCCCTCGCTGCCTGTACCTGCTTCAGGTGCTGTTAAACTTTCACAGACCATATTGTATCGTATAGAACACAGAACAAATATTCATCTGTGGGAGTGA